GCTGATTTTATGTGGTTAGAAAGATCTCTTTTAAAATCTTAGCAATGTTTCTAATAAGTATCTCATTTTCTAAAATGACCCAATCCTATTATAACTGATAGTAGCTGTAGACCAGGAACTACAAATACAAAATTTAAGTTTCTACTTTGCTTACTTTGTTTATTTTGGTTTGAAGGTAAAATCATAATGTAAGTAATACATGATAGCTACTTCCTTAGGTGCTCATTTAAAAATAACCATTATTTGTGATTAATAAAGCTTTCCAGAGGATTCAGAAAGCAAAGCCAGCCTCAAGCTATAGAGATCAGGCAGTGGTGATACAACACCGTTAATCCCAGGATTTAGGAGTAAGAGGTAGAAAGATCTTTGTGTCCTAAATCACCGTTGGCTACCAGAGAGTGAATCAGAGTTCACACCTTTAATCCTAGGATTTGAGAGGTATAAAAGGTAGAGACATTCAGTCTTTCACTACATTGAGGACAGCATAGCAGTCTGAGTGAATCTGAGGAGCAGGAAAGTCTGGAGCAATCTGAGGATTGCCTGTTTGGTCTGAGCTGAAATAGAGGTAAAAGTCAGTGGTTGAACCAAGATATCTGTTTCTGGGTCTTTTATTTTTCTTGTAACAAATAACATTTTGCATAAAATGATTCAACTTCGGAATAGAAAAATAGTTGTTTTCTGTTTAGCTTCCTATTTCAGCACTTATAACATTATTGCAAATGCTTCTTAATTTTTCCTTCAAAGGTCACTATAATGTCATGGCAGCATTGTATTTGTATTTACTCTAATTTACTGGTGCAATGTCTGAAGTAAGAGTAGAATAACTTCTACTACGTGAATAAATGATGAATGGTGCTGTATGTGAGCCCATCAAAAGGATTCAGAGTTAGAAATCAATGCTTTGACTCTGAGCCAGGAAACATTCAGTCAGAGAAGGAAGAGGAGTCTTTTGCCCACAAGAGAACCAATGGCAATACAGGACCCCTAGTGGAGAGGAAGTTGCTGTTTATAGTGGTGGAGTTACTGTTGAGTGGTTTGTGCTCCAGATGATAGCTTAGCAGCCACATCTCCATTAGTGCCCTCTGTTAAACCACTGGCTAAGACCATAAAAGACAGAAAAGCAAGAAGAGGACTTGTTGAAGGGAAATGTTAGTTGAGGATATGTTAGCTGGTCAGGAGGAAAATATGAGATAGATGAGTAAACAAAACATAAAATAATAAATAAGAGCAAAATCAAATCAGTTGCTTAAGATTAAGAGTGAAAACCAAGTGGTGGTGACACACACCTTTAATCCCAGCACTCAGGAGGCAGAGGCAGGCAGATCTCTGTAAATTTGAGACCAGCCTGGTCTACAAGAACTAGTTCCAGGACAGCCTCCAAAGCCACAGAGAAATCCATCTAGAAAAACCACGAAAAAATAGTTCAGTGTGATAAGCTGTTAAAAATAATGACATCATAAAATTTGCAGGCAAATGGATGGAACTAGAAAAAAATCATCCTGAATGAGGTAACCCAGACCCAGAAAGACAAACATGGTATGTACTCACTCATAACTGGATGTTAGTTGTATAATAAAGGATAGCCATGCTATAACCCATAGAATAAGAGAGGCTAGGTGACAAGGAAGGTTAGATAGGGGACACCTTGATCTCCCTGGGAAGGGGAAATAGAAAAGAAAAGATTTTGTGAGGGGACTGAAGGTGAGAGGGGATGGGAACATGGAAGTTGAGGTTGGGAGCCGATGGAGGGGGAGAATACTGAAAGAGACTACTGCGGAGGGCATTTGAGATTTGGTTAAAAACGTGGCTAGCAAGGAAATCTCCCTGCAAGGATGGCCCCAGCAAAGAATCGCAGAAACAGTGATATGTAACCTGAACTGACCGTCTCCTATGATCGGGCAAGATTCAAGTGGAGGGAGTAGGAAACCAACCCTGGTCCCCAAACTTTGACCTGCAGTCTGTCCTGACTATGGGATATGCTGGCGCAAAGGTGGCCTAGAGATTGAAGGAGTGGCCAGACAATGGCCAATATGGACTAAAACTCATACCAGGAGAGTAAGCTCACCCTTGACACTGCCTTGAGCTCCAAGACCCACAGGCTGGATGACCCAGATAGAACCAAACATGACGGGAGGAAAAAAATGTCAACGTAATAATGCCTAATGATATTCTGCTCTAGTCATAGATTGATGCCTAGCCCAATTGTCATTAGAGAGGCTTCATCCAACAATTGATAGAAACAAATGCAGAAACACAGCCAAATTTTAGGTGGAGCTCTTGCAATCCTGAAAAATAGGAGGAGAAAAGTTTGTAGGAGCCAGAGGGGTCAAGGACATCACAAGAAAGCCAATAGAATCATCTACCCTGGGCTCACAAGGGCTCACAGAGACTTAACTGACAACCAGGGAGCCAGCATGGGACTGACCTAGGCCTGATGGGGATGTTCTTTGGTGTATATGTTTCTCTTATTGATTGATGAATAAAACGCTGTTTAACATCAGGAAGATAGGTGGGGTGAGGAGATGAGGAGAATTCTGTGAAAGGTAGGTGGAGAGAGCCTGCCAAAGAGATGACATGTAGCAGACAAAGGAGAAACAGGTCTGGGCTTTTTCCGGTAAGCCAAGACCATGTGGAAATACTTAGATTTATACAAATGGGTTAATAATTAAGCCAGATCTAGTCGATAAGAAGCCCTAGACATCAGCCAACAGATTAATAACTAATATAACATCTGTGTGCTTATTTGGGACTTAGAAGGGCAACAGGACCTGGTGGGACAAGAAAAGACAGCAACATAGGTCATGTGCTTATATGTGACAGTTGTGTAGCTTGGTCCTTTTGGAGGACTCCTAATAGTGGGAACAGAAACTGTCTCCAATTCTTTTACTGCCTTTTGGGTCACCTTGCCCAGCCTTAATGGGGAGATGCTTAATCATACTGCAACTTGATATGCCATGTTTTGTTGATATTCTTGGAAGACCTGCCATTTTCCTAAAGCGAAATGTAGAAGGAGTAGATTGGAGAGTGGGAACATAGGGTAGGTGGAGGAAAGGGATGAGGAGGAGATTTTGGAGGGGAAATTGCAGCCAGGATGTAAAATTAGATAGCTGGATAGATAGATGATAGATAGATAGATTGATTGATAGACAGATAGATTATTAAAGACCACAAATAAATAAATAAAAAGATTCAGTGTGATAGAAAACAGAATTAGGGAATGTTTGGTAGAGATCTTTTTAGTCTACGTATATAAGAGGGTATTTTGTCATATAAACTGATGGTTACCAATTTCACATTTAAAAGACAACAAAAATAAAATGGAGTCATCTTCCAGAGAGTTTTGGCCTTGCTTAGCCTGTTAGCCTTTACAAATGCCATTTATTTTTATAATAAAAAATTGTATTTTCCAGCATAGTCTGTTTCCAACATATTTAAAGTTTTTCATTTGTTCAGTTTTCTTAGTATCTTTCTAGAATGTGAATTTTCATTTCCCAAAAGTCTTAATACTGATTTAATGATGTGATTCACGTGACAAACATCTATTTTCTTTGCTTCATTGCTATTAGTGAATGACAAGTGAAGGAGATTTATTTTAACTTGAAAATGTCAGGTATGCACTTTCGGAGATATATTTTTTCAGCTTTTAATGAGGTGGTGCTTCTTTTTGAAGGGATACTCATCTCTGATGCGGATGCTGTGCAGGTGACAACTGATATTTAATAAGTGATGGCTCTTGTATTAGTCGCAGTTCGCTAAAGAAAATGTCTCAGATTGCTTTTGAAAAGCTCGTAGCATCAGTAGCCCAAAGGCAAGATGTGACCTTTTTATTACATAATGAGAATCATTTATTATCTTACAATGTATCTTAAAGTCACAGACAAAATGCCACTTTGATAATTGCTTTCAATTAGCTTTGAGCATAGCATATATTCATAAAATGTCTTCTCTAATTTAGAGTTGAATTAGAGAAGATTGCAGACATAATCTACTTTAAGGTTGTCTCATTTAAGGTGATTCGTAGTTTCATATCACAGAAACCAACATGAGTAGCATTGGAACAGTGCCTCTGAGTGTCTGCAGCTTCTCAGTGTCTGATCCTATTGTGTTACCAATTAATTAACAAATTAGAAAGATCATTTCTGACCTTTCATGCATGTTAACTTTTGACTTTCATTTCTGATGATTGTTTGGAAATGAAGCCTTGAAGCTCGTGTTGAAAGAGAGAAACAATCTGATTAAAAAGATAAATAAGGTTCATGTAAAGCTAAGTACCTCCTTACGCTGGGCCATGGTCGGGGACTCTGAATACGGTAATGGCGCACCTTTTCCTGTTTCAATAATATGTGACTAATGATCATGAAATGACACTGGGAAATCATGCAGTCTGAAGGAAAAGTTCTGGGAGACTGAAGTAGGACAATGAGATTAAATATAAGACCATACTGAAATCGTGACTCCAACTAATTTCTACTTTGGGTTAACATTTGGGTATCACTGAAATGTATATCTCTAAAGTGTAGTTTTCCCTGCCAGCCGCCTAGGCCCTGTCGAACTGTCTGTAACCCCAAATAACACACAAGACATTATATTAATTATAAGCTGTTGGCCGTTTGCTATTGTTTATCATTGTCTAGCTCTGACTTAATTATTGACCTATAATCATCTATATATATATTTATCTTTTCGAGAACGCCAGACTTGGGTTCTCTTCTCCGAGGATAACATGGCAACAACTCAGTTCACTACATTTCTCAGAATCCTCCTAGACTCCTAGTCCCACCTATCTTGCTTCTCTATTGGCCAACAGTACTTTATTGACACATACACAGGACTCTCCCATCATATATCCCTGTCTTCTTAAAAATTTTTGAAATCATGAAACTCTGAAATTGAATTTTAACCTTGTGTTATTTTCATTACTTGTGAAATATAGCTGTAGAGTTCTCAGAACTCAATATTTTGTTCTCTTATCACTCTTCCTCTGTCTTTCTTTTTCCTAGATAAAAATTACACACAAGAACCAAGCCCCCATGCTGATGGGCCCTCCCCCCAAAACTGGGTTGTTCTGCTCACTCATCAAAAGAAGGAGGAACCGAAGCAAGGAGTGATCCTTCCATCAGGAGAAATGTGACTAGTATGGGCCATGCAGCACTTTGAACCATTTCAAGCCTCCTGCTCTGACAGAATCATGAAATTCACAATTTTTGTTATTGAGTTGATGTAAAATTTGGCTATTAGAAAATGTGTTGTCTCTGTTTTTATATGTATCTGCATGAAAAGTAGAAGTTTATATGATGTGACACTGCGTATTTTATATGACGTGACAAACACTGTGTATTTTAGTTGCATGCATTCCCAGAGGTTTCTGTCTCCCATTCACATCTTACCCCATTTCCATTTGCAAACTGTGAGGAAAACCTGTGAAAGAGCAAAGAAATATGATGGTCAATGATTCATGTTGTAATTGCTGTCATTGGCAAGCACTAATAAGTAAGGCTGCAATGATCCAAAGTGCAAGCTGCCATGCTTTGCCCTGCTAGAATCAGTGTGTCCATGATATTAGACCTGTGACTCAAAGCGAAGCTTAAATCACATATTTGATTAAGTAGTTGCCTATGGTACCACGCTATATCTAAATAGTCTTTCTTCAACATCTTTACTCTTCTGAATGGACATTAAAATATCAGGCATAAGATTTTTTCTTGTGCTAAAATATAGAAAATGTCTTATGTTTAGCTTCATTTTTCATTCCAAAAAATGAGTGAAAATATGTGACTGGTAGTAATTGTGATAATATAAAAAGCTTTAGTCCTTTCTGCATGGGAATGTAGACACAGATGCTAACCACACTAGTAGCCAAATAGATGTTTTGAACTATGTGCCTAATGAATCCGTTTCCCACCAAAGAATCAGAAAATTATAGTTCTTATGAGTTTGTGAAAAGAAAGATGTCAGAAGAGAGTAAGTTATCCACTTGTATTAACATTCTCACCATTCAAAAATAGTAAGTCATACAACAAAATCCCAGTTAAACGGATAATTTCATAGCTATTTGATCCCCCTACCATATAGGACTATAATTTTTAATGGATCTGTTAAGTACACTTCAAGAAGGGAAATGACTGCATTGGTTCCCTTTTAGGGTAAATTGGCACCTGCAATAATATTGAGCTCATCGAAGCAAATCATGCATGCAATGCAATTAACCCCTTACTACTCATTCATTCCAGCCCCATCTCTATGACATTTCAAATGCTTGGGAATATATGATGGTCTAGGTCACTGTTTAAGGTGTTCATGGCATGGTGTGGGTCCCTGGTTGTTTAAAGAAATTGTGGCACTACTACTTTCCATAGTGTTTCTTTGAGGCTATTATGTGAAATGAAGTACTTCTGAGCAGCCTCAGTGTAGTTCTGTCTCACTGACCTGTGTCTCACCACTGCACGCTTTATGTTTTCACCCATGCCTTCAGGAAAAAAAAATGTGTGCTTGAATGCATGATTTATCAGCTTTCCTCTCTGCTCAGCATTAAAGTGCTAATGATTTATCAGTTCTATTTTTCTATTGATTCATTCATCGTTGAATAACAAATAGCAGCTAGTGATTCTGTTGAACACAACCCGGCGCATGGATTTATTGATTTCAAGTGAAATTGCTGTAATTTTAGTTCTCTGGTTTGAAAACTCAAGTGAATGCGGCTGTATCAAATAGCTGCTCTCAAGCAACATTCTGTAATGGAAGAGTATAGTGTATTCCTTTAGTATTCCAGGAACACTGGATGATAAATACCAATCAACAATAACTTTAATTGCTTTAAAAATAAAAGCTGTTGAATAGAATTCAGACATAATTTAGCTTTCCTAGGAAAATTATGATTAAAATTACAAATCCAGTACAGCAATCAGTTGTTGTGGCAGTAATAATAGAATGGTTATTCAGTACTCTAGACCAAAAGAATGCTCAAAACAACCACAAATGCATCACTGACAAAATGTCACATAACTCACCTTTTGGTGGTCTGTATCTATGATTGCAGGTAGTAAATATTTTTACACAAATTGATGAGCTTTTCTATAATGGGCAGGCAGACCTTGGACCAAAGTATTATTCTGAATCCACAAATTATTTTATGTTCAGGCAGACACTTAGGCGGCAGCCATTTCTCAATCACTTGCAGCATCTTTGCACTGGGAAATGATTAAAGAACTGGCCTGTATGATTTCAGGAACTGAAACAGTGGGCTCTGCTGCATTTCAACCTAGCTGCATGACCCCAGCCTGCTCTAGTAGGCACAACATCTCAGTCCATTGGATTCATGGGTAACACCAATAAATCTTCAAAAAGGAATCAAATTTGACTTTTCTAAACTCATTTTTTTCCTTTTAGATAAATGATGTGCTTGCCCTTTGAGTACACTACTCCTGGGGTTTGGAAAGTAGTTTTTTAAAAATCTACTTTGATGATTTTGAAATAAGAGAAGATATTCTCTTCTTTTTTATGACAGCTTCATGTGAAGAATATATATTTTAAGGAAAATTCTAAATGGAAAGTTCTATGGCATATTAAAATACTGAATAATGAATGTTAGCTTTAAAAAATGGAAACTTTTCTTCCAGGTGTGTGGGTGTTGGAGATATTGAGTCAACCTCTTTTAACCATAGTAGGCAGAGTAGCGGTAAAGTTCTCAGTGAAGTGGTGTGACAATGAATACTGCAATAACTTAAAAGGGTCAGAGGATCTCAAGGATGGAGTTTCATACCCTGCTAAACACTGCCATACCTTAAGTTGCTAATGAGAGAAGACAGATCCCAGAATTTACCTAGAAATGTACACTTTCAGGAAACAGGAAGGGTGATATCTATGCAGAACCAGAACTTCAAAAGTCATATGTGTATTTTTTCTCTTCCCATCATGTGTGTATCATATGTAATTGATGTGGAAATATGATCAGGTTTTTGTAATAGGTGGGAAAATCTTTTTACTTTGAATGGGTCATGTGATCATATGCATTCTAGATGTAACTGATTAGGGGTTCAGTCTAGATAATCTCCTGAAGGCAAAATTGTAAAAGAGTGAGCACTAATGGCTCATTCACCCATTCCCCAGTTTGGTCAATTGTCTGTTTTTAGGGGATGGGAGCAAGTAGAGTTTTCAGGGAAGAATCTGTTTGAGTCTCAGGCTATCTATGCTGCTCAAACAAGATAGGACTTTTTCATGGTCCCTTTCCTTTTTCTGTTAGTGTTAGCTGGTTTTCTGTTGGTTTTGAAGAGAAAAGTGTACAATTATGGTACATATAACCCTTGAAGAACTAATCAATGGATAACATATTCCACATTAAAGATAAAGCCCTTGTAAAGTATACCGAGGCTGTGGAATTTGATATTGAATATTGATATGAATAAATAAATCTCAGAAAAGCCTTTCATTCTGTAAAAGACCGAAATCACACCCTTAAAACAGCCAATTAAACTGCATTGTGTTTAAAGGTTTGAGTAAATTCTCATTTGAACCTTTCTATATATTCTTACTGTGTCTAAAACATAGGGTTTGTTTAACTAAAGTACCTTAATTATTTTCTCAGAAAGTGTTATGTACAAATCCCAGTTTTTGAAATAAAAGCGTTGACCATTCACTTGTGCATCACTCATTCCGCACCCGGCGCTCCCCCCTTCCCCCCCGCCCCCCCCCATTTGAACTATCCACGGAAGCTTCCTCAGCAGCTCTCCATCAGGTGAGCTGCAGCAGCCACCCTGCCTTTGTCAGGAGCAAGAACCCTGTGTCTAGGGATGAAATTACTTCATGTCCTAGCTAAGGTTCTTATGGTTGTGAGGAGACACCATGACCTGGGCAACTCCTTTGGAAAACATTTCATTGAGGTGGTTTGCTTACACTTCCTTCCAGAGGTTCGGGCTGTTATCATCATAATGTCTTCATAATGGGGAGCACGGCTACAAAAGGCAGAGGTGGTGCTGGAGCTGAGAGTGCTGTATTTTGAGGGCAAAAGGAAGTCGACTGAGACACTGGGTGATATCCTGAGCATAGGAAACCTGAAAGCCCAACCCCCTAATGATGCACTTCCTCCAACAAGGCCACACCCACTCCAACAAAGCCACACCTTCTGATAGTGACACTCACTATGAGGTTATGGGAGAAATTACATTCAAACTACTACACTCCACTCCCTGGCCTCCATAAGATTTTAACAATATCATAATATAAAATGCATTTAGTACACTACAGTCTCAATAATTTTTCAAGGTTCAAAGTCTCTTCTGAGATTTATGCAGTCTCTTAACTGTAATAATCTATAAAAATAAAAAAACAGATTACATACTTCCAAAATATAATGACACAAGATATACATTACCATTCCAAAATGCAGTGGACAGAGCATAGTGAATAAATACTGGACCAAAACAAGACTAAAAGCCAGCTGGGCAAACTCCAAACTCTGCATCGTCATGCCTGATGTCAAAATGCTCTTCAGATCTTCAACTCTGTTCAGCTTTGTTTAGTGCAACACACTTCTTTCTCTTGGGCCCATTTATTCCACTCCCTGTTAGCAGCTCTCCTCAGCAGACATCCCACAACTCTGTCATCTCTAACATCTTGGGTTACCCAAGGCAGTCCAGGCTTTAACTACAGCTTCACACAGTGACTTCTCTACTAAGCCTCCCTCACTTCAGGGGCAACCCTGACACATGCATGGCATCAGCAGCTTTCTTTAGGTGCAGAGGCAAATTCCATAACTCGTGTCTTTCACCCTCATTTGTAAAGACAGAGCCATATGGCTGAAACTTCCAAGTTCTGCTACTTACTGGGGCTGGAACATGGCCCTCTCATTCGATTAGATTAGAGCTTCAGTGTCCTTTTTCCCTCACTACCTGAACTTGGCTGTACCAAAACTGGATCTCTAGACCAGGCTGGCCTTAAACTCAGATTTCCACCAGCCTCTCCCTTCCCAGTGCTGGGATTAAATGTGTGCTCCACCTTACTCAGATCTCAGCTTTTCTTTAGTTTCTGGTCACAAGTTGGAAACTTAGCTGGGTAGGATCTTGCCCGGAGGTCACCATTCCTTATGTTTCATTTCTTAATCCATTTATCTCCTTGGCCACAGGATTTATCTCCATTCTCTTTCTTGGTGCTCTTTTTCTCCTCAAATATACATTTTATAATTTACTCTGCTTAGCTTTCTCCTTTTTATTAGAAATCTTAACAAGCATCAACACTAGTAAACATATGAAACAGTCTATCTATACTAGGGTGTTTTGAGATTTCCTCTGCCAAAGAAATTAACCCAAAACTCTTCACGTTAGCCTCTGGCAGACTCTTTGGACAAAGGTAAATGGCAGCCATTTTCTTTACCAAAATATCACAAAAATGACCTTTAGGCAATGTCTTAAAATTCTTCTCTGAAACAACTTGAGTGGGTGCCCCACAGTTCATCAAATCACACTCAGCACTACTGTCTTCCACACCTCTGCTATTTTGGCCCATTCAGAATCACTGAAAATGTTCAACTGCTTTTCTAATCCATAGTCCCAAAGTCCATAATTACTCTAAGCAAAAACATGGACGGGCCTATCAAAGTAATACCCCAGTTCCTTTTACCAACTTCTGTCTTAGTGAAGGTTTTTATTGCTGTGAGAAGATACCATGACCAAGGCAACTCTTACAAAGGAAACATCTAGTTGAGGTGGCTCACTGATAGTTTCAGAGGTTTAGTCCATTATCATCACAATGGAGAGTTTGGCAGCCTGCAGGAAGATGTGGTGTTGGAGCTGAGAGTGCTTATCTTGCAGGCAACAGGAAGTCAACTGAGACCCTGAGTGGTATCCTGAGAATAGGAAACCTCTAACCCTGCCACCACAGTGACCCACCTCTTCCAAAAAGGTCACACCCACTCCAAAAAAGCTATACCTCCTAAGAGTGCCACTCCAATGAGATTATGGGAGCCAATTACATTTGCCTTGCTTTTTGCTCTACACCGTATCTGTGATTTTGTAGTATTTTCACAGATCCCAGAAAAGGTACAAACTGAAAGAGATACAGTAGATAATAAAATTGAATTTCAAGATGAAATTAATTTATAAATGTATTCTATAACAGGCCATCAGCTACCAATGTGCACTGACTGAAGAAAACTCTTTTTGAATGGTCTGCAACTATGATAAAATATTTCTCAGGGGCCCATTCTTTTCCCCTAAATGTTTACATCTACCAGAAGAGCTAAATGCATTAATGTCTATATTACATGCTTGACTTATGTGAATACAGAAGGATTTGAGTCCAAGGAAGACAGTGGTTGTATGGAGCCATTCCAAGTGACCTCAAGAGAAGGAAAGTCTACATAGGACATTTTTACAGATCTAGAACTTTACAAAAAGAAATCGATATAACTAAGAAAATTCCCAGTAAGAGAACATAAGCCCATGGGGCATAAATCAAGAAACAAAGTCCTCTATACTTCACAGCCTTGATTCATTAACTGCTAGAGAACTGATAGCCTGTGGGCTGTTTTTGGTACACAAGTTCATGTAGAGACAAGGCAAGTAAAAATGGAAGGGAGAGAGAGGCAGGCAAACAAGTGCAGAATGAGAAAACAAAAATAATTCTTCATGTTTGATATTAAGAACCTCAAAGCTGTATGTGGCCACTGTTTCCCCATTTTCAGAAAGTTGTTTCGCGATAATACTTACACATTTTATATGACTTCTTTAACTTTTTAGGCTTTGGAAAATTGAAATAATTGTTCATTCTAGTTGTACGCATATAACAGTTACGAAGAAAAAATATGAAAAAAATAAAAGCGTCTATAATAAAATAAGTGTCAAATGACAAGTAGTGGCTGAGTCACTTCTCGCCTCACCTAGCGGCCAGTGCTTATCTGTGTGTGTGGTCTGTATATGAATGTGAGTGTGCGTGTCCATAACTCCTTGTGAGGTTTGTACATGCATGTGAGTGTGCATGCGCATATCTGTGTGTACAGTCTGTATATGAATGTGAGTGTGCATGTCTGTATCTCCTTGCAAGGCCTGTACATGCATGTGAGTGTTCATGTGCATATCTGTGTGTGTGATCTGTCAGTGCATACGAGTGTGTGTGGTCTGTACACACATTTGAGTGTACATGTGTATATGTGTGTGTGTGGTCTGTCAATGCATGTGAGTGTGCATGTTCATATCTGTGTGTGTGGTCTGTACATGCATATGAGTATACATGTGCATGCATATGTGTGTGCATAGCTGGTACATGCATGTGAGTGTGTGTGCATATATCTCTGTGTGAGATCTGCCCACTTTTACAAATTCCTAAATGTTTATTTATTATGTATCTATGTGCAAATGAACACACAAACATGGGAGTAAAGGTCAGAGAGTAGCTTTGAGGAGTCAGTTCTCTCCTCCCACCTCAGCATTGAGGCTAGCACCTTTGCCCACTAAGTAATCTTGGGGCTCCTCATTATATTTTTTATAAATGATTGAACATTTCAAATTTCAGACCTGGGACATTAGCTCATCTTTCTGCATCCACCAGTTAAGCAATATTCTTAGCACCATGGTTTTTTTTTCTTATTCTTTAGTTACATTTTCTTGATAAGTAGTACCAACAGATAAGATTTTAAAATACCTAGACACCAACTAGAATTCCCTAATTTATATTTCTAGTCTAATCCATGCATCTGCTTACTCTTTCTACATTTTTAACTGAATTGCCCATAGGCATAACAGAAAATCTCAAAATATTTATCTGAACTACCTTCACTGGCCTGTTTCACCTCCTGTTTGACCAACTCTGTGAATTTCATTGGTATCCATTTTGTGACTCAAAAAGGGTCAGATGAATAAATACCTTTTTGAACCTAAGATTAAACTAATATTTGGAGGCAGTTACTCTTACCCAAGTTTTTGCAGAAAAAATTGCACAAATATATGCATGTGTTTCATATAGCAATGAAGAAGAAATTTAAGTGAACTTCAAATTTCACTTAGATTATTGCCTTCATTTACTAAGAACTGTGAGCCATTCTTTAAGGAAAACACTGAGCTGCCTATGGTCCAGAACCTATTTCAAAACGGAAAGTCACGTGTTTCCTGCCTTTCAAACTGGATGTTGCACAAAATTGTGACTTACCCTGGTTCTCACATGACCCCACATGTGTCTGTGCTTGCTTTCCGTCTCATAAAAGCATGGTCTGTTCTAGATACCTAGTCAGTCACCCAGGCTCTCCTATTAATTACATTTGCTTCACATCGTTTCTATGCGTGTATGTGTGTGTGTGTGTGTGTGTGTGTGGTCTGTATATGAATGTGAGTGTGCATGTGCATATCTGTGTGTGTGTGGTCTGTGTATGCATGTGAGTGTGATTGTGCATATGTGTTTGCATATGGTCTGTATAAGCGTATGAGTGTGCATGTGCACACCTGTGTGTGTAGTTTGTATATGCATGTGAGTGTGCATACAGGGGAGCACATCCACCTTTTTCCCTTGGGCAGGATCTCTCACTAACCCTGGTGTTGGGCTGTCTGCAGGGTCTTCCTGTCTCTGTCTCTCTGCCCTGAGGTTACAGGGATGCACTGTCATGTACCAAACATAAAGGTTGTCATACCAGTCATCTGAGTAGTTCGCTGA